ACTTTGTAATCACAGAGCTAGGATTCTCATCCCCTCACCCCTTCAAAAGACTGTGAGTTAGAAGAGAGGAAGCCTGTCAATGTGTTTTACAAAATGATAGTGCACTGCAGCAGAGAGTGGGCATTAGTGATGTGGCTACTCGGGCTCCCATCCACGCCACGGCTTGTCTTGTTCTACAAGAACTTGATGTGACCTCATAGGTGCCTAGAAGCCAAGCATGGCGGCTCAGACACACAATCTCAGCATCTGGGATACTGTGACAAGAGGACCACCAGGAGTTCACGGCTAGTCTGGGCTACAGTGTGAACTGACAGAGACATGGGGATGGGGGAAGGAAGATGGGAGGAGAAGGCAGAGGAGGAAGACGGCTGAGGAAGCCTTAGCTAGTGGTATGTGTGCTCAATCAGTAGGGTGCCTGTGCTCAGTGGGTAGGGTGTGTGTACTCACAGGGTGTGTGTACTCAATTGATGGACAGGGTGCATGTGCTCAGTGGGTAGAGTACTTTCCTATCACACACAAAGCCCTGGATCTAATCCTTGGCACCATGAAAACTGGGAATGGTGGTTCCCAGCATTCAGGGGGTGGAAACAGGAGGATCAGAAGTCCAAAAAAGGCCATCCTCAGCTATATAGAAGTTGGAAGCTAACTGGGGTCCAGTAGATCGTGTCTCAAAACAAGCTGTTAATGGCCATCAGACCTCTGCAGGGTCCCTCACAGAAAAGAATCTGCCATGTGAGAGATGCTAAGATGAGCAGACAGAGCTCCCACATCCCAGCCACATGGTTCGTGTATCCTCCAGGCAGCCCCATAGCTATGGGGAAGGGCTCTACACAGGGGGTTCAGGGAGCCAGCCAAGATCATTCCTTGGTGCCTGAGCCTCCCTTGCAGAGCTAAGTAAGAGTCTCCACTATGCAGCCAAGCTGCTGATCTGACCTGAGGGTTGTTCGGTACTTGATCCAGCAGAGGCTCCTATAGAAGATCCAGACCTCACTCTGCTTCTGCAGCACTGAGGCCAGAAGCACAATAAAAGCTGCCTTGGGTGTTTGGCAGACATAGCCATAAACCAGGGCTGCGTCTCCACACAGTCAGCCATGCTGCTCCTGTAAAGTCACTGACCACAGCGGAAGGTTAGGGATGAAAAGGCTCACCTGACCCAGGTGAGCTGGATCCGAGACCACATCCAGACTGACCCAAAGGCAGAACTGCTCCAGGTTTTCAGAGGAAGAAAACAGGTGGGCCTCAACCAGGAGAGTCCAGTCTTCCAGAAGCCTGATAGGGCCCCCTCTCTTACAGACACTGCCCTTTGCATCTAGAGACCTGCTGGAAAAGATCCCTGGGTCCAGAATTCAGAGAAGACTGCTGACCTATCATGGTTTCTCACTGATTAGCTTCCTTCGGGTTCTGTTAGTTAAATAAGGCCACCTGGTTTATGCAAATGGCGCCCCTGTCTGGTCCGTCCTTCTGTCCTTCCTCCCTCCCATCCATCCATCTTTCTTCCATCTGATATTTCCTTGATATCTCACCATTTGGTACAGGAATCGCAACACACAATCCCACCACGTTTCATTACCAGTCTCTGTCCAGTCAAGAGGTACTCCCATCATGCCACCCCAGGTTGGAATCAAGTTATGGGGAAACCTATGCATCCAAGTCAATAACCAGCCCACTTCCCTGCCTTACTTCTCTACAACTGTTCTTCCTTCATCCCCAAAGCAAGAATAAATGCCAGATACTTCATCTGTACCAACACTCTAACCTGCTGGCTTAAAATAAAACAAACCTTGTGGCCTCTACCCTATCACAATCATCCCTGTTAGGATTCCAGCCAATTCCCACAGCTCCTGGCATCTGATTTTTCTATCTTGCCTTTCTGTTTGCACTGGTAGCTGTGATGATTTTTCTTCCACTGAACATTTCTCAGATTGCTGATAGGTGGGAGGGGGTGATGCACAGAGAAGAGTGGGGAATGGGGAGGTGGTGTATTAATCTTGGTGCCTGCAGGGAGGAGAGGAAAGGCCTCCCACAAAGTGCATCTAGCCTGGGGTAGCCAGGGCTATGCACGAATGTGCGCACACTTGTGTGCAACACACACACACACACACACACACACACACAAAGAATATATTCTCCCTCTCTTGATTTGCTCAGATCTCACAGCTTTGTTAGCACAGAGGGGTGTGGCCCCAGATCTAGATGCTTGGGACGAAGGACTCATCTCCACCCTCAGTCAAAAGCACATTTTTCCTTCCAGCAGTCCACGGTGTAGCACCAAGGACTCCAGAATCAAGCCTCATTGTCATAAGCTCATGAGGACAGGGACATAGTCTATACCACCTCACACAGGCTCCGATAGACAAGAATGCTTGGAACCTCATACATGAGAGCTCAGAGACAATTGGGGGAGATGAAAAAAGTAAGCTAGAGCTACACAGAGGACAGAAGGGAGAGCTCTTCACCTTCATGGTGGCCACAGTCCCAGTGACTTTGGATGTCACTTCAATCAGCATCAACCCTAAAGCTGATCACAGAAAGTTGAGGAACTTCTGAAGATGCTCACCCTGCACATGGCTGGGTTCCCCATCCCAGCCCTTTGGGATACAGCTCAGCCAACCCTCATTTATTCCCATTAGGGTCCCATCACATGAAAACCCAGAACTCCCCGGACAGATACATCCTTCATGGCCTTCTTGAGTAGAAAGAAAATTACCATACACAGACTCATGGAGAACTGTTGGTTCTGGAAGGAAGGCTCAGAAGATTCAGGAATTAGAAAAAGGCCAAGCATGCAGTACACAACCTTAATCCCAGCACTGCTCACCAGACGCTGAAACAGGTAGGGCTCTGTGTGTTTAAGTCTAGCTTGATCTACACAGCAGTTCCAAGCTATCTAGGGCTATACAGTAAGACCTTGTCTTAACAATAAATTAATCAATTAATTTCCCAAAAAACCTGAGTCAGAAGTAAAAGCATTCATGTGTGTGTGCACACCGCTCTGCGTGTGTGTGTGTGGGGGGGGGCATCTTCTTCTGCTGTTCTCCACTTCAATCCTCTTGCTGAACTTGGAGCTTATAGACGAGGCTGACTGCCTGGAGAGATCCAGAGGTCTGTCTATCTCACCTCCCCAGGGCTAGGATAGCAGGCACATTTTGCTGAGCTTGGTTTTTTTTTTTTTTTTTTTTTTTTTTTTGCTGGTGTGCATGGCTTTTTACACAGGGATCCCAACTTGCATAGCAATCACTTTTCAACTCTAGCCTCATCCCCACCCCAAAAGTGTCCATAAAAAGTGACTTTCCATCATACCCCACTTTTCAATGCATGCCCTCATCCGGAGAAGATGACAGACCTATCCGGTCAGGTTTGGGAGGGGGTTTCCTCTTAAGGAAAATGTAAGCAAAAACAGTTTCGTTAATCTATTTCTGAGCAGACCAAGTACCAAGAAGACAAATATCCGCAGTTGTTATTTTATATATCACTAAAAAAAAGGCTACTTTTAGCTGAGTGCCACTTTCCATAGGGTTCAGCTCAGAGCAGCCAATCAGGCAGTTTCGGAGCAAGCTGCGGCTAGAGGTGATTATATCGGTTTCCGCATCCACCCTCAGGTCCCCTAAATAAGCAACAGGGATGGAGGAAGGGGAGAGTGCTTGCAAAAGTGGAAAATCCACCCAAAATCAGCATAACAGTCAGCCAGAAGTTGTGCAACAGGTGAGCATCCATGACAACAGAAAACCAGACTTGTGGGTACAATTCATCAGACCCAGGGATGAGGGACAAAAATGATGGGCTTGAAGTTTATGGCAAACAGAAAAAGCAAACCCACTATTGACTCCCTCTCTGGTGAACACTGGTCAATGTTCCCCCACCTGCTCTTCAGGAAGAGTCCTCTTCTTCACTGGATGGTTACAAGGAACCACAATGCATGGCATGTTAAGTCTTAGTTTCATTCTTTCTGCCTTGCTAGGACTCCCTCTCAGCACTTGCCTGTGTATTAATAAAAACAAACAAAAAAAAGCAAAGAAACAAAACTCCTCTACTAGCCGGGCATTGGTGGCGCACACTTTTAATCCCAGCACTGGGCAAGCAGAGGCAGGCGGATCTCATTGAATTCAGGCCAGACCTGTCTACAGAGAAGAGTTACAGGACAGTCAAGACTGTTGCACAGAGAAGCCCTGTCTGGGGAAAACCAAAACAACAACAAAAACACTGCCTACCTCGTAAGGATATTGTAACAAATGTTCAATTCCAGGTAAAGCACTGGTCCTGAACCAAGCGTGTCACAAAAACTCACAGGGGGGTCGTTTTGCAGAGATTAAAACAGAAGCCTGAGGGCAGTCAAGGCTAGTGGTCCTTGTGATTCAGAGAGGGAATAAGAGCAGACTATACAGGCTGTAAAACCAAAGCTCTTATATTCGTCCTTCTCCTTGAATTTAACTAGAACTTTCTTTGCCTCACAGTGTGTCTGCCAGGACAGATGTTTGGGACCTAGGGTATGCGTAGGACTTAAACAGCATTCAGCCTATGCTGCTGTCCTAGGCTAAAGACAATGGGCTGCCATTAAACAAACTTGGGCCAGCGGGGGTAGGAAAAGCAAGCGTGATAGCCCAGCTCAATCCCTGGCCACAGGAGACCCTCAACCTGAACCCCTACTTCCTGCCCTTTTTCTTGCCACTCTTATTAAACAGTTAGTCACTCTGGGCAAAACAAAAGCATAGATCAAACCACAGGAAAACCAGATGGAAGCCCAAAAGCAAAACAGAAAGGAGGGCCGAGAGGCTGGGCCCATGAGTTCCCTCGTGCCTTAGATAGACACCATTTCCTCTCACTGAACTCTGAAAATAACTGTGTGCCCTCCTATACCGTAATGTGGGAAAGAGTGGTTTGTTTTTGCTTTTGTTTGCTTTTCAAGGAGCACAGAGGAGCCAGGTCCCCAGATTCAGGATGATTAAGGACTGCCATCAGGGCCAGAAGATGAGCATGGTGGCAAGGCTGTGGCAGGGGATTACCTGTGCTGCTCTACGGCCTCGTTGTCCGGAAGCTCGACCCCACACACGCTGCACTGCTCCCCCAGAGGACGGCTCTCGGCTTTCATGCCCACAGCCAGCTCACCCAGCTTGCTGAACAGCTCCCTCTGGATGAAGCCCTGAGGTAGCAGGCCCCCATAGGTGCTGAAGTCCATGGAGACGGCCAGGGCAGGTTGCACATGGAGACCAGAGGTCACTGAAGACGGCATGCTTAACACAGCATCGGCCTTGTGGTTGGGCAACACTGAGTATATGCCCAAATGCTTCTCCACTGGGGGTACCAGGAGCTCCTGTCGCCCAGGAGGTCCCTGACCAGCTTCAACGGGAGGTGACAGCTGCTCACCACTCTCTTCTCGCCCATAATGAAGCTCCCTGGCACTGGTGATGACACTGCTTCGAGTGGGAGTGCCAGGCCCCTCTTTGCTCCTTTCTTCAAGCTTGTCCCCCATCCCTCCTGAGATGCTGGACTCTGCTGCCCCAGGGCTGTCCTGGCCAGGGTCGTCATCTACCTGCATCATCTCCGTCTTCACCTCAGCCACCCCGGAGTGCCGCCCACCACCGACCAGTGTGGGCTCCTCGGGCCCTGTGGGGGGCTGAAGGGTTCCTTGCAGGAGAGACTGCCCTATGGTCATCAAACTGTCCACTGCTGCCTTGGTAGGACTCATGGCTGAAAGTCCAAAAGAGGTGGAGACCGAAGGGCTCTGGTCCACCATGGGCCCGGGGAGGCTCTGTCCAGCCACGCTGGCATACCCACTCTCCTCGCTGGAATGCTTCGAGATGAAGATGTTCTTGAGGTATCGAGCCTTGCGGTCCTCTTCTTCTTCGCCCCCACCATCCGCCATGGTGGCCTCTGTGTCGTTGTCATCGGATGCCTGGATGGTCTCCAGGATCTTCAGGCACTGCTCCTCCAGGTACTCAATCTCCAGGATCTCGGCTGCATACAGCAGGTCATCCAGGTCCTCTGCCTTAGCTTGCAGTGTGGCCGTGTAGGCATACTCCAGAATCTGCTGGAAGGTCTTTGGGGAGAGGAAGTCCAGAGTATAGTGCTGGCTGTTTCGGTGGAAGAGAATCTCAAACATCTTGCTGGTGCAGGCCAGCACTGTCCGGTGGGCATGGAACTCCTGGCTGTCCACCATGATGACCACATCGCACAAAGTTCCGGCCAGTCGCATCTGGTTGGCCTTGCACAGCAGCCCCGTAGGGTGGCTAGGGTTCTGCAGCTGGATCATACCCATCTTTGTCAGATCCATAGTGCTCCCCTTGGCTCAGGCATGGGGCTCTCTTTCCTTCTTTGCTCTACGCGGTGTGGCAGGGTAGGCTTCCAAGGCTAGTGGAGGGGTCTAGAGAAAGAAGAGAAGAGATAAAAGAGATGACCAAGTGTCAACATCCCCTAAAAATAAGAATTCAAACATCACAGTATACCCCCATTCCGGCAAGAGGCTTTGGAGGGCTTTAATGGAAGGGGCTTGGGCTTCCGAGAATCTATGAATCAGCCTTCTCAACAAGCCCAGATTCTGAGAGTAAAAATGAGGTTATGCTTGCCCATATGTTTGATCAACTGCTCTATAGGTAGCATCTGCTGGATGAAGTGAGATGAAGATTACAATGAGTCCTAGGCATTCTTTACCCCAAGAGTACAGACTGCCCGTGTAAGACCAGTGTCCAGCATGAGCCTCACAAACATACTTCAGATGAACGAGTTTTAGCTCCTTCCTTTAGTCAACTTAAGCATCCAGCTTTACTGTCAAACCCCTATAAGCAAACCCTCATCTTCAACGTTGTTCTAGTTCTGCCTCACTGAGATGGCCTTAAGAGACAAGACAAATCTTGCCATGGCTGCTAGATGTGGTGGTGGCCTGATATCTACGAGCAATGGGGCTGTCCTCTCCTAGTCAAGCCCTCTCTCCGTCATCCTGTGCCTCCTATGGCCTCTGTCCTCCCACTCTGTAGTCAGGGCTGCAACGAGAACGCGCGCGCGCACACACAATTCACATTCTAGACTGCCATTCCTACTTACAAGTTCCTCAAAGTTACTGTGTATATCCAAGGTGTGTGTGTATGTGTGTGTGTGTTTGCACTAGCTGCTGGCATACAATTAAACAAGATGTTACAGCCTCCTCCTTTCCCTCCTGCCCACAAGCACCCAATGGACAAAATGCTCTAAAACGAGAAAGCAGAGAGACACCATGGGAGGGTGGGGATGTTCCCAACAGCCTTGAGGGCTCATGCCAGACTGGATGTCTCCCAGGTGTTGGCAAGTAGTGGCAAGGAGAAAAACTGACATTGGACATGGCTCTAGAAGTGACATTGGCACCAGCATCTCTGGTTGCCTTACGTCCAGAAGGTGGGGAAGACGGGGCTGGAACACAAAGGCCTTTCCCAGAGCGTGTTCTGGATGACTCAGTGGCTTCGGATTCTGAACAGCCATTGGGACATGGACAGAAAGACCTGCGGGGCCCAGGTCATAGTCTCTGCCTAACTGTGGTCAACATCCCACAGAGCCAATGGCCTGGGGAGAGGGTGGACAGAGGTAGGCTTCTCAGCCACTCTTCACGGAGCTCGCCTTCACCCTCAATAAGATTCTTAAGGAGTCTTCCGCACAAAACTCGTGAAGAAAATGTTAATGGCACTGGCTGGTCACTCTTATTGCCCACCCCAAAGTGGAAACGGAGGGCATCAACAAGGGTGAGACATCCATTCATCAAAGGCTTCATGAACATGGTGAGCTTTCGGCAGAGATCAGAGTTTCATAGAACTAAGAGGGAGAAGCCAAAATAAAGAAGGTTCGCTGCCCGAATACCTTCCCCCAAAGGAGCCTTTTGGGCTTTCAGGCAAATCAAGGTGCCCTATCCCTCATCCACGGCTCTGCACCCGCGATCGGACCACCGCTAGCAGCAACGATCAGCCAGGCGGGGCGCTGGGCAAAGCGCTAACCCGCCAGAGCTCCGAGGATCGATCGCGCTCCCAACACACCCCTCGTTCCCAGCGACCCCCGCAGAGACTTGCAGAGGACTTCTGCAAACTTAGGAAGGTAACTTTTTCCCCGGGAGTCAGGCGCCTGGAAGAAAGGGAACCGAGCTAAGAAAAGAGGGAAAGCGAAAGAGCCCGGGAAAGGAGAAGGTCCGAACTGGCTGGTCGCCTTGCGAGGCCGGCCAAAGCGGCGCAACCCGCAGGAGGAGAAGCACAAAAGCCCTGCGGCGAGTGGTGGGAGGCCAAGCAAGAAGAGATCTCAGGGTCCTCCGTCTCCCACCCAGGATCAGGATCCCCGGGAAGCCATCAGCAGGGTCCCCGGCCTCCCGCACCAGCTGCCGGCGTGCCCGAGTTAGACACGCTGGGAGCGTGGCGGGGAGGAGGCGAGCTGATAGCTGCGGAGCGCGTCTGTACATTCCGGTGGGTCTACTGGCTGGCAGGATCGTGCGCATTTCGAGCGCGTGCGGGAGCGTGCGAGGGGCTAGGCAAGCTTGCAGCCGGCGCGCCAGGGTGGGAAAGACATCCCGAACGCATCAGGTGCAGAGCCCGGGAACCCACCCTGCGCGGCCGGGAGCGCACAGCGAGCTCCAGCGCCAAGGCTGCTCCCACCGAGAGCCGAGGAGGACCCGGAGCATGGGGAGTCTCTTCGAAGCTTCCCTCTCTCCTTAAAAAGGGGCTCCAAGTCCAATCAAGAAAAAAGATCCCACCACATTTTTCTCTAAAGAAAACAAAACCCAAGCGGTATCAGTCCCCTCCCCTCCACCACCCAGGTCCACTCCTCGACTCCTTCGGCTCTAGCTCCCCAGCGGGGCAGCGAATAAACACAAATAAATAAGGCACAATTCTATCTCACGCCAAGCGCACCGGTCCGCATACATATGAGCACCCACAGGCTCTCTGCTCTTCCGCCAGCCCTTGGCTGTACAAAGCCACCCAATCCCGACCACACGCGCCCGCAGCCCAGGCAGACCTCCCGGCCTGCCACCTCTCACCCGGACTGTGCCCGGAGGAGGAAGGTTGGGGAGGCAGCTGAGCCCAAGCTGACAGCCTGGGCTCCGCTTTCTAGCTGACCCCCAACCGGCGAGGGTGACCGCTGCAGCAGCAGCAACCAGAGAGCCCCGCAGGAACCCGGCGGCCGAGTGGCCAAAGCTAGCGCCACCCGCCTAAACCTCTCCCGCCCCAGGGCGCCCTGGCGTGAGGCGATCGCTGGGCGGTGCGTGTCTTTCCCGGGTTCTGTACACACACACACACACACACACACACACACACACACTCACCGCTTGACGAGCCTGGAGCTTGGGGTGGGTGTGCGTGCCTGGGGGGGTGAGGGGTGTGCCTGGATCGGGGAAGGGGTGTTGCTGGGGAACTGTTGCTCCGGATCTCACGGCGGCAGCGGCGGCATCGCCCGGCAGTTCGCAGTACCCGCTCTCATCACCCTTAACTCCTCTCTGCCGCTAGGTTAGCAAATCACCACCGGCTGCGGCGCCTCCGCCGCGTCCCACGTCAACGCCGAGCCCCCTCCCCTGCGAGGCCCCGGCGCCTCTCCATCTTTAGTGCTGGCGACGGAGCCCGGCTCCCTGCCCACAGCTGCCCCCTCCCCTCCCCCCTGGCCGGCCTCGGCCCGCCCACCCCGCCCCACCCCCGCCCTGGCGGAGTCCGTGCGCGCTCCTAGCCCGGCCCTCCCTTCCCGGGCGCTACCCTCCCTTCCCTGCGCTCGGCGCTCCGGGCTTCGCCTGACATCTAGCTGCTGCCCCGGCTCCAGCGGCCGCTGCTCGTGGCTAGGCGGGGAGGGCAAAAGGTTACAAGGAAGAGGAGCCGCAGAGGAGCCGCAGAGGACCCGGCAACCCCCAAGGGACCAGAAGAATGAGAGGGAGGAGCAGTCCCTACTTTAACCCCAGGTTTTTCATTTCCACTGGGCATGCGGTGTATCCCGCGCCCCCAACTTCGGTGCTCAAGAGCGGAGTTTTGTACCGTTTTCTAGTATTTGCACCAGTTCAGTGTGTGGCATCTAGCCTTTCACTTTTCCTCGGGATTCGGGTTGCATCCTGCCTTACCCTAGACATTGATTTAAAACGGGCTGCTTCCCTAGTCCCAAACCAGGCCTCTCGTGCCTGCCCGCAGGGGGTGAGCGTCAGGGAAGATCTGGTAAGGGGGGCGGCGTCTCGATTTTGCTATCTAGATAGTTCCAAGCTGAGGTCAAGGCTTGAGTAAAACTTTCACGTTCTCAATCTTAGGCATCGCCGCCTCCCCCCCCCCGCCCCGCCCCCCGCCCAACTTTCCCGGCCCCGGGAATCTGGATGGAAAGTTCTGAAGAGCCTGAACCTAGCTCAGCTCAGCCTTCGCATGCGAATGGAAGCTCGGGAAAGCTCTGCCCTCTCTAAAACACTTTCTCCCCCTCAGCAGCTAGCTCCACTTTTAAAGGGTAGAGTTGAGACAACCCTAAGGTAAAGAGACCAAAGGAAAATGTGTCCTTCCTCCAGCTACGGGAAGCTGGGTCTCCTTTACACTCTGAGCTGGGGGTGGGGTGAGGCTGGAAGGTACTTTTCAGAGCCTTGGCCTCTGGCAAAAGCCCCAGAGCATTGATGTTGGGGGTGTGGTGGAGAGCGCCACCCAGGGGTCTCAGAAAAGTCGCCCACACAGCCCCACCCTCAAGTCATGAGGTCTTCTTAGCTCCAAGCTTCAGTTAGAAGTGCTGTGTCCTTGACTGGCAAGGGCTAAGTTTACACACCGACTACACGGGGCTGCTAGAAGTGTTCATAATGACCAGGCATTCCGTCCTAGCAAGGGACATGCAGTTCTCAGACTAGCAGTGGGAGACAGAAGTCAGAAGAAGGGAGCACTGGAAAAGTGGAGGAAGGAAGTTGAGATTGAGTGACCCTCTAATAGGCAACATCACATGGGTGAGGCAAGGGGAGTCCCCCGAAGTCATTTGATACACAACAAAAAGGAATCCTGTTTAAAGGCTACCTGATTTTTCAAGCTAAGGCCGGCCTTCTGTGACACAAGGGGAATTTGAGGCAAGTTAACATGGAACTGCCATTAAAAAAAAAAAGTGGATGAGCATAAGGGGCAGAAGAGCCTCCCATGGATGGACGCCTTGCCTCTTAGAGGAATGAAACCGCTGCACCTGTTGAGCTCCTGTCTAAGGAGGGCTTGCTGTCTGGAGTCCACATCCACCTACCAGCCTCTCTAGCAGTCACCTGAGAAGCTCACAATTAACCTCTGATCCTATTCTCCCATTAATCCTCCAATCAGAGAAAGAGAATCTGTGCACACAATGGGAAAGAAAGAAAGATTCCTGCCTGGCTTTGGCCTCCCCCCCCCCCACCACCATAGTCACTCTATGTGAAAATCTCCCTTGCTTCATAAACTCTGCCCATTAAAGAGCCCAGCCCTTGTTAGTAAGTGTTAAAGAGAGAGTAATGCCTGGATTTAAGAGGTGGGAAAGGTAACAGAAAGGGAGAAGGCAGGCGAGGTTGTGGGCTGAGTGCCAGAGTTGGGCTCTGGAGCATTTCCACTTAGCGATGAAGGCTGGCTGCACAGCAGTTTGATAAGGTTTATTGGGCCCAGATAAAGCAGCACCATCCCAAACCAGCACCATTTATAGCTAGAGCTGTGTCCTTGGGTCCTAGAAGGCTGACGAGAGTCCCCAGTTGAGAGATTTCATAAGGTAATGCCTAAAACAGAGCAGACTGGAAAGAAAATCATAGGAACAATCTCTCTCTCTCTCTCTCTCTCTCAGCACAAGACCATGGGGCATGGTGGTGCCTGCCTTTTATCCAGACAGACAGGCCGAATTCTGTGAGTTCAAGGCTAGCCCCAGGGCACCTAAGTGAGACCTAGTCTCAGAAACAAAACAAAATATGGAACCTTGATTTAAGGTTTTCTGACAAAATGCAAGACGCCCCAATCTCTGTCTTGCTGGAAGCCGAGACAGAGATGAGCTAACCTGCGGGTAACATTCAACTACAAAGTCTCCTCATTCTTCTTCTCCCTAAATACCTCCCAGCTATGTAGCCTTTCCAAGCTCAGCTAGTGGAAGAGTGTATCCGGTCTGAGGGAAACATACAGGAAGGAGATGGTGGGAGTAACAACTCACTTGGAGCATTCCCTGTGGATCTTATCTTGTTACCTATATTTTTGAAGTTAGTCATCCTAACAACACTGTTGGCATTCTCTGAGTAGCCTCATTTGGGTAGCAGGGAACACTGACTCCTAGAGATTGTTTGAATCTGACTTGATGCTTTGAATCATGCTGTGCGACTGCACAGCTCGAGCCTGGATTACCTGGCCTTTATTGAGAGGAGTCAATGAAAAAACCAAGGGTTTTTTAAAAATTTCCCTTGTCTTTCTCTGCTGAAGACAGGGCTAGGTAGCAGTGCGTTGAGCTGAGGACCCAGCAACTCCACTCTTCGGCTATCATTCAAGGCTTTGTGCACTCTCCTTCCTTCTCCAGAATCTCTAGACTACTGGAAGGGAGGTTTGAATGACAATAAAAACATCTAGTAGACACTCGAGTGCTTGAGTATTTTTTTTCTTGCATGTGAATGTAAAGTCTGGTTCCTTGGGTTGAGGATGCAGTCTAATCCATAGACTTCTGGATTGGCAAACATAGGCCTGGGTTTGGTTCCACAGTACTCTGGCTGTGGTGTCCATGCCCCCATATCATGTATTCCCTAAGAGAATTAAGTTAAAGAACTTCAGGGGACACATCTTCCAAATAGCAAAGGGCCAACCAAAGTACTGAGGTGAAGTGTATGTTCTGGTATTTTAGGCTCAGAAAACCCAATAAAGATGGCTGCTTAGATGATAATTTCTTTTTCCACCATGAGGCACTGAACCATGGAGGCCACAAACTTGGGCATCACTTCCAGATACCAAGGACACTCTGGCTGGCATCTGCGGGAACTATTGGTTGACTGAGACAGAGTCCCACTTACATAACCTCTTTACACCAATGCACCTGGCTAAAGAACAACTTTTCAAAGACAGAGGAAGGATTTTCTTTTTAGCCTCAGAGCCTTGGGGTCACTGTGACCCCAAGATCTTTGTGATTGAGGACACAAAGGTGTTTTCTTTCCTCTTTCTCTACCCAGCATATTGCAAATGGTGTTGGGACCTAATGTTGTCAACTCAAATAGCAAATCTGAGTTGTTATTAGTGCAAAGATGCCCTGAGGGGGTCGGCAGTGTGGATGAGATCTGCAAGGGATGTTATGGGGAAGTGTGTTTATAATTATAATGGGATTTAATGTACACTGGGACCAGATGATAGCAGCCATTTAAAAAAGAGATGCCTAATAAGAGAGGTCCCTTAATGGCAGGCAGCAGGGCTCAGGTTATTATGGGGAAGTGCAGCATTTCACTGAGTGTCACAAACCGTGTGAAATGTTTTATATGGTTTCCAACAAAGCTTTGGAGTGAGATATGGCAACTACTGTTATCAGCTACAGAGGTACATTGTTTTAATGTTGTTATTTGGAAAGGGGCTGTACACACACACAAAAGCATTTTCTGCCTTACACACAAACTCACACAGGCCTCAGGCCAACACCGGATAGCTTTGGGTGTTTCTGGAAATCTGCTCTGTGCTGAGAAAGACAGCCTCAATTTCAAAAGGAAACTTTTGTAGCTATCGAGGGGTGCATTTTCCATATAGTATGCATGGAGGGAATCGGCATGACTCCCATTATAGGTAATGATAGTCCCACAGCTGAATCCCCAGGCGCCATGCTGAAAATTAACCCCCAAGTTTTCATTGGGGAAATAATGGGGCCTTTAAAGCAAACAAAACTCTGTTTCTTTGTTGGGAGCTGGGGAAGAAGGGAAGCATGTCCCTATTTTTTTTAGATGTTCAGCTTTTACTCCAGTCTATCCTTGCAGATTTAGATTCCAAGGCTGCTTTTGGGGCTGGAGAGATACCTGGATGGTTAAGAGCACTGGCTGGTCATCCAGAGGACCAGGGTTTGGTTCCCAGCACTCGCACGGCAGCTGGCAACTGCCTGTTACTCCAATCCCAGGTCCCAGGGGATTCAGCAGCTCATTCTTTGGTCTACAGGGGCATCAGGCACACACATGGTGCACAGACATCTGTGCAAGCAAAACACACACACACACAAATGAGTAAGTCATTTAAAAAAAAATAAAGCGTGCTTGCTACTCTTGCAGAGGACCAGAATCCCATCCCAAACACATTGGGAGACTCACAACTGCCCATAACTCTATGTCCAGAAGAACCAAAGGCCTCACTCACATGTACATACCCACACATGGACACACATGTATCTACAGTTAAAAATAAAAATAAATCTTTAATATATGTCAGGGACCAGGTATGATGGCACACACCTTCAATCCCAGCACTTGGAAGGCAGAGGCAGACAGATTTCTGTAAATTTGATGCGGGTCTGGTCTATAAAACCAGTTTCAGGGCAACTGGAGCTATGTAGTGAGACACTGTCGAAAAGAAAAAGAAAAGAAAAGAAAAGAAAAGAAGGCAGGCAGGCAAACACAGTAGCACATGTCTTTAAGCGTTCAGGAAACAGATGATCTATGAGTTTGAGA